CCTCCCAGCATTCATTGAGACTCCTCCTCCCTCCTGGGACAGTGAAAAAGACAGGCCAAAATGGGCAGAGCAATGAAGATGTCAGTGAGTGTGGCAACATGAAGCAACTTGGCCAGTACTGGGAAGAGCAATCCCCACACTGCCTGCATCCCAGCTTTTCTCTCCAGCTGGAGATCAGAGTTACTAGTAGAGTTCCTTTGTGTGCAGTTTCTCATCCCAGCTGGAGGATAGAAGCATACAGGATAATCCCCACTGCTATCTCTGGTCAGAGATAACAACCTAGTTTCCTCAAGGGGCTTCCACAGACTGGGGAATGTGGTGTGCTGGTTTAGACTGGAGGTTCTGCATGCCTGGTCTGGAAGCTCTGGTAGAAGGAAAACATAGCTAGATTGCAAGTGAAAGATGATTCCTCACCTGTAAAGCTGTATCTGAGGTAGGGTCATTGCATGAAAAAAGTTTGAGTCTGTTAAGCACTTACTGAATCTGCCAAAGATTTATAGTGCTAGATATCATTTGGAAGCACCTTTGACAAAACGAACAAACATAACACAGAGCCCCCGTACGTTTCATAAAACTTGCAGTATTACTAAAAGCACATTAGATGGTGCTGTATGACAGTTCAATCCAGAGCACATTAACAAGAGTGTTACAAGCTCACTTCGTAGCTGTTAAGTGGAGGAGCTCCTCAGCACTGGATGTTACAAAGGTGCCAAGCCCTGATGGGTTACACCCAAGGGTAGTTTGGGAGTTGGCAGGGGTACTCTCACACCCAATGGCCTCCATTTTTGAAGCCTCGTGGAGAATGAGTGAGGTTCCAGAGGACTGGAGGGAGGCTTCAGTAGTCCCAGTCTTCAAAAAGGCAGGGGACATGGGGAATTACAGGCTAGTTAGCCTTAAGTCCATTCTGGGAAAGACAATGGAAAGGCTCATAATAGGGAGAGAACTAGTAACCCTAGATAGGGAAGGGAAGTTGGCAGCCACACAACACAGATTCTGCAAAAACAGGTCCTGCCAGATGACAAGGACAAGAACCTTGTAATTCTATGACAAGGTTTCAAGGTGGCTAGACAGAGGGGACATACATGGTGGATGTGGTTTACTTGGATTTCAGCAAGGCCTTTGACATCCTGGTTGAGAAATTTAGGAGTTTTGGGATAGACCAATGCACTGTCCAATGGATTAGGGCATGGTTGATAGACTGAGAGCAGAGGGTAACTATTAGTGGGGAATCATCAGGATGGTGGCCGGTGATGAGTGGGGTCCCCTAGGGCTCTGTCCTGGGATAGATCCTGTTAATCTTTTCATCAGTGACTTAGAAGAGAGGGTGACCAGCCTGCTGATCAAATTCACAAACAATACTAAAATGGGGGCAGTGGCCACAACTGAGAAGCAGGTACTCTGAATCCAGAAGGATTAAGACCAACTATGGAAGTGGGCAGGGGACAACAGGATGGCATTCAATGCAGATAAGTGCAAGGTCTTGCACTTGAAGCATAGGAATGGGTGTCATAAGTACAGGTTAGGGGACAAGTGGCTGGAGAGCAGCACTTGTGAAAGGGATCTCAGGGTGCTGGTTGACTGCAGGCTAAACATGAGTCAGCAGTGTGATGCAGTGGTCAAGAGGGCGAACACCACCCTTGGTTGCATAGCCAGAATCATGGCTTCAGGGTCAAGAGAGCTGTTACTGTTACTCTGTACTACACTTGTGCACTCACAACTGGAGTATTGTGTTCAGTTCTGAGCTCCACATTACAGGAAGGATATAGCCAGGTTGGAATTGGTGCAGCATAGGACCACAAAGATGGTGGCTAGATTGCAGGGGAAGCCATATGAGGTGAGACTGAGGGAGCTGGGTCTTTTCAGCCTGGAGAAGTAGAGACTTTGAGGGGATCTGTTGGTGACATATAGGTACGTGAGCGGGTGTCACACGGAGATGGGTCAAGACCTGTTTTCCCCTGCAGAGGAGGGCAGGACACATTTCAATCAAGCAAAGCTCAGGGAACCAAGGTTCAATTTAGATTCCAGGAAGTACTTCCTAACAGTTAGGATCCCGGAGATATGGAATGGGCTTCCACAGGAGATGATTGAAGCCCCATCGGTGAGGGTGTTCAAGGATAGGCTGGACATGCACATGGTAGGCATGTCATGAGTGGAGGTGACTGGAGCCAGGGGGCCCCTTCTGACTTGCTCTGTTTCTATGTTTCTCCCATAACACAACTTTTATGGAAACCTGATGAGCTCTTACACAGACCTCTGCACTACCAGTGGCTTTTGAGAATATACCACATGATCTATCACCTGTCTCCAGTGAAGCTCTGTACTACAAGTGCATTTTTTCCAGTTGCTTGGAGAAGAGCTCACATTAAAGATTCTAGGGTTTTATTTTTTTAAAAACTCATGTTTAATAGAAGGCACATAAATTCATTCACACACCAAAAACCATGGGAAATGTAAAAAAAAGTAAGGCTCCCACCTTTCCTGCTAAGATAGTGTAGAAACAAGGGCTCTGCAGTGGCATTCTCTAGCCTGATATCCTCCAATTGTGTTGAATGACAACTCCAAGCTATGGTCACTGGAGGATGCTGGGAGTTAGTCCAACACATCTGGAGGGCTCCACATTGGGGAAGGCAATGTGTATTCTCTTATGATCTGAGCTTTCTTGTTCCTCTGTATATGAGGCTTCTCATGTACAATAACAAAGCATGCAGTGCTCCACATTCTGCCTCCAGATTTCAGGCAATAACAGTACAGGACCTGCCAACACTAGCTATATCTCTGGGGGCTCAATTTATCTCCATGTCCTCCAATGTGCTCTGTACTATCATGTACCAACAATGACTTTCTGCTGTTTATGTAAACAACCTATCCATGATTGATACCTATTACATGAAAGCTAGTTAGTGATTGTCAGTGTCTTTTGATGATCAGTATTTTTAACAAAAGAGAAAGGGAGATACCTGCCCTGTAAAACTTGCACTCTCAATCAGGGACACAAAGCCTCCTTCAGCCTGAGAGCCAAATTTCACTTCAAAACAGTTCTCTGCAGCTGCTTTCTGCTGGTGTGTGCAACAGAAGCCAGGAGGAGGCAAGATCAGAGACAAAAAAAGAAAAAAAAAATACCAGTATATGGTAGCTTTGCACTCTTCCTGCCAGTTGCAACTAAGCTGGAGAAAAGGCATTTAAACTTTTTAGAAGAGAAGAAAAAAACTGTACAAAAAGAAGGAATTGCCAAATATCAGTAGTTGGAGGGGGTGAGGTGGCCTGCTGCAGAGCACAGGACTGGACTGGAACCACATGCCTGGGGTTCTTCTTTGCTACACATTTTTGCCTAGAAACTAAAACAAGACATCCTTCCAAGAGACTGTTTTTTTCCCACTTGAGATGAGGATGAAGTGATGAGCTTTCCTCTGCACTTCCACTGTTCTCTTCCTTTCTAAATTTAAATTGCAACTGTCTTGAGACAAGCACTGTGTTGGGCTTATGCTGCTCTGTAAAGCACCACACATATGCACACCTCTGTATGCTGTTTGCTGGTGTCATGACCTTCAGCTACCTAGAGATATGCTCAGGTGCAATACTATTTTTTAGGAGAAGTGAACACTGTAGCCAAGAGGCCATTTATTTTAAGGTGGAAAAATCTGCTTGGTTACAGAAGTATTGGCAATATACAGGTTGCATGAATGTGTAAGTTTAAGAACATCTTGCAATATGGCTGTTTGCTGCAGATTAGGTATCTGAGACTGCTTTCAAATCACCTCTATAGGAAGTGGTTCTGGTTTTATATTGAGGTTGACTTTATTCTCTGAACATTCCTTGGTAAGAGGTGTCCTCTTGACCCCAACTTTTGCCAGTTCTAAGATGGCATCTCTTATGTCAAGAAAATGACCAAGCCATGATGCTAGGAAACATGGGTAGGAGGAGCTGTTGCATTCATGTCCTGCTTGTTATCTTTCCATGGTCTACTGGTTGGCCACTGTGCAAACAGAATATTGGACTATATGGACTCGTGTCTGATCCAGCAGGCTCTTCCTATGTTCTTATGGTACTATATGCACTACCCCATAACAGAGGGTAGGCAATGAGCCGTTTCCAACTGCCAGACTTGGCCAGGATGACCATAGGTACTACTCTCCAGGGGATAGTCTTCTCTTTGAGAGCATTCTATTTGAAAGTCTGTCCAGCTCAAGTCCATTTGAAAAATAAAGAAGCATATCAAGAAGGTTTGATCAGGGCTCTTGCCCATCCACTTAGTCATCCCCTAGTCAGGCCCACACATCACCATTCCCCACTGTGGTAAGTTGTATTGATCTCTGTTGAATTGTATTGATACTAATTATTTGTCAATTTGTAGCTACACCTGTAATGCATACACAAATATTATGCAAACCCAAATCAACTTTTCTAATTTGGCAAAAGTCTGTGGCACTGAGGGGAAAGATCAACAGGGCTCCTTGGCAGCTGCAGTGGCCACAGGTTCAAGCAGTGAATGATATATGTGGTTCTCCCAAGTTATTGACAATTCTTGAAATTTTGCCCACTGAGTTAACTAGGATGTGGTGGTGGTGGTGGTGATACTTGAACAGAAACCTGCCTTCACTCAGTCAGTCACCATAAACAGTAATTAGAAGATGACGTGCAGCCTTCCCACACACAAGCATATGCAATTGCACAAGCACACTTATCAATAGGCAGAAAAAGCCTGGTCGTTCTTAAGTCTAAGCCTTACCCACGTAGCTAAGGTGCAATCCTATGCATATTTGGGCAGGAAAAGAGCCCTACAACGCACATGCTGACTGGGCCATTCTGTTTCGTCCTCTAAACATGTAAAGGATGAAGCCCTAAGAATCGGAGGAGGAGGGAAAAGGCAGCTCCTTCTCCATCCCAGGGCAACACCTGCAGGCGGCTCCCTCTCTTCGGGAAGGAAAGAATCGCGGCGTAGCCGGGCAGTCTTAACACGGAAGTCGCAGCTGCTCGAGTCGTTGGGGTTCCATCGAAAGTAGAGAAACCACACCGAAACGAGGCATCCGAGGGGTCCTCAGAATTATTCCTTTAATGGGTCGAAGCTTCCGGGTCGGGTTTAGTTTCTAGCAAGGCGAGATCGCATCCTTATCTTGGCGCACGTGGAAGAGAGAGAAACAACGATTTCTTCCGCCATGGAGGTAAGGAAAAAGGCAATCCTTTGGGGGAAAAAGTCTCTGCAAAGCCTTCTACAAAGACCGATATTTTGCACACACACCGCTCCGGTTGCTTTTCGTAACCCAGCGCTTTTTGTGCGGGGGGCTCTTGACTTTCTGAACGGTCTTCGTGATGTGTCCACGGCAAGGTGAAATTGGCGCGATCGCTCCGTGTGAGTGATACTGGGAAGCACCTGTGGATTGTAGATAAAGCGAGGGTACAATTTAATCAGGTGGTATTCTTGTGTCAGCCATAATGATTTAGATTTCATGCAGTGATCAGGGCAGAGGGAAAGAAAAGCGAGCATGGGGGCGGGGAGGTGAAGATGGGGTCGAGGGAGGAACGGCCAAGCCAGAATGTTTCCTTGAGGCTGGTCGGTTCTTGAGTTGCTGTAATAAGGCCACATACATCGATTGAGATTTTTTGGAAGGAAAAAAATACCACTAATATTCAGCGTGCCAATATGATCCCAAATATCCAGAATTAATGTCGCAGGATTATGCACTCTGTCCTGGAAATAAGTTCCATTGGATTTAAAAGGACTTACTTCTGAATGACAATAACCAAGCAAACTAGAAGCAATTTGAAAAAGCACGTTCCCGGGTCTTCCCAGATTTCCCACCCTATGATAGATTTTCTATCAAGTGTCCCAACCTTTTTCTCTGCCCTTGAGAAGGTTGATGTTTGTGTATTAATATAAAACTACCCATGTATCAGATATTTGTTAGGGTGGTCAAGATGCAAGATCCTTTGTCTTTTGTCTATGCACTAAAATACAATGACAATATTTCATACCTGTTTCTGTGAAATGGAACCAATTTCTAAGTACAACTTTGATGCTCTAGCCAGTGCCAAAAGTATAATCAGTATCCCCACTGTCACTAGTTAACGGTTATGTCCATCTGTTGAACAGCCTGGAAGCCTTTACTAGTATTGTTTCTGAAGCTAGATAAGGTGACTTACATGACCTTTGCTATCACTCCTTAAAGAAAAAAGTGGTTTTGTGTTGAAAGCATTGTTGTGTGCCCCTTGGCTTGAGTGATACATTTGTGTGACTTCGCCAACAAATCAACTAGTATTCAGAAGAAGAAAAAATAACCACTGTTCATTATTTTATATAAAGCACCTAAGATTGCTAGGCACTCTATAATAAATCCCCTCCCCTCCCCTCCCCACACAGGTCCTGTTTACAGCCTAGTCTATAGAGATTGCAATCTCTTGAATGAATTGGATCCTTTGCAAATTTAAGGCACAATCTTATGCATGTTAAGGCAGAAAAGTCATATAACTGTCAGCATGAAGGGAATGCTGGGAGATGTAGGACTATTCATTTCTCAACATGCATAGGGTTACACCTCTAATTAGAAAGATGCCCCATAAAGTTCAGTGGGACTTACAAGCAAGCAGGGATTAATGTTGCAGTCTTAATTGTCACAAGATGCAATAATATTTTAATCATTCATTGTTTTCCTCTTCTATTAGCTAACTGAACAATTCTTGAACTGAGTGACAGTTCTAGTTTCAGAGAGAGTTTAAGTTTGTAAATGTATGTAGAATGTATTTGTCTGCCACTGCAGTTCAAGTTTCCAAGAATTTTGTATCACAAGAGTGATGGCATACAATTTTGCTGAACAGTGGAATGAGGATGAGGCTAAGTTGGTTCCTAACTCCTTATTCCTAGTTATCCATTCATTATTTGATATAGGCAACATGACCAGTCTGATTATCTGAAGGTTTGTGTCCTGACTAATTTAAATTCCATTTTTTTCAGTAGTCTATTCAAAGTGGGACTACTGTTGGATACAGTCCAGTTTGTATCCACCCACCCTAACATATGGGACTGGGAACCAAGAATAGCATAGAAACAAATTCCACATTGTGCATATATAGCCAGCCATTCATTCGCTTTCCCCAGGTGACTTTGGAAATCATCTTTCATAGAATAGGATTAGGGGTCTAACAGAATTGCAAGTTTTCTGAAACTAAAATTCTCAGGATTCTTTAGGAAACTGTAACAGTTAAAACAGTATTATTGTAGTTACATCATCTATATTCCACTTTTTTCCCTCTTGTAAAGAGCTTAAGGCTAACATGATTTTCTTTCCCTCCATTTTATCCTCCTGACAGACCTGTGAGTTAGGCTGAGAGTAAGAGACTGGCCAGACCTTATGGTTGAGTGGGTCCTAGAAGCCTGAGTCCCAGTTCAGTGACACATTAGTATAAAATGAACACAGATTTATTTTATTTATTTGTTTATTTATTTAAAACTTTTGTATACTGTCCACTACAAAATAGTCTCGGGACAGTCTTACAATAAAACAAAGTAAGGCACAGCACCCATTTTGTTAAAACCTCAGTTAAAATTGCAATCTAAACTTAAAATACTGGAAAAATAAAAAGGTTTGGCCTGGCATCGAAAAAAATAAAGTGTTGGCACCAGTCAAACCTATCTGGGGACCATATTCCATAACCAGGGTGCCACCACAGAGAAGGCCCTTCCCTGGGTAGCCACCCTCCTAATCTCCTTCACGGAGATGGATCCCAAAGAAGGATCCAGATCTTAAGGGGCGGGAAGGAGACACTTCTTCAGATATCCATGTCTTAAGCCATTTAGGGCTTTATCGGTCATCACCAACATCTTATATTGGGCCTGGATTTCAATTGGTAGCCAGTGTAGATGGTAAAGGACTGGCAATATATGTGCATATCTGCCAATTCCTGTTATCATCCTGGCTGCTGTTCTGAACCAATTGAAGTATCTGGACTGTCTGCAAGGGCAGCCCCACTTAAAGCATATTACAATAGTCCAATTGGGAAATTACCAGAGCATAGGTCACCATTGCCAGGCTCTGCTCATCCAGGTAAGAGCACAGTTGATGGATCAGCTGAAGCAGAAGGAAAGTGCTCATCACCAAAGCAGCCACCTGGAGCTCCAGGGACAGCTCTGGGTCAAGGAGCACTCCCAAATTGCATACCCTGTCCTTTAGGGGAAGTGCAACTCCATCCAGAACAGGGCTAAAATCATTTACCAGGAAGGCTGAACAGCCTACCAACAGGATCTCAATCTTGTCTGGATTAAGTCACAATTTATTGGCCCTCATCCAGCCCATCACACCAGCCAGATACCAGTTAAGGACAGCCACTGACTCACCTGGATTAGATGTAAAAGAGAGGTAGAGCTGGTTGTCATCAGCATACTGATGATTCCACAGCCTAAACCCCCAGATGGCCTCTTCCAGTGGTTTCACGTAGATGTTAAAAAGCATGGGGGATAAAATGGAACCCTGCAAAACTCCATGGCAAAGCTTTCATGGCACAGAGCCACAATCCCCCAGCACCACCTTCTGGAATTGGCCAGCCAAGTAGGAGTTGAACCACCACAAAGCACTGCCTCTAACCCCCAGCTTGGCCAGCCTATCCAGAAAGATACCATGGTTGATGGTATCAAAAGCCACTGAGAAATCCAGGAGAACCAACAGGGACACACTTCCCCTGTCCCTTTCCCTGCACAGGTCATCGTAAGGTGTGACAAAGGCAGTTTCAGTCCCATAACTAGGCCTGAATCCAGGCTGGAATGGGTCCAGGTGGTCAGTTTCCTCCAAGAGAACCGGGAGTTGCCCGGCCACCACCTGCTTGAGGACCTTTCTCAAGAATAGGTTGTTAGCCACTGGTCTATAGTTGGTGGACGACTCTGGGTCTGAGGTTCACCCTCTTCAGGATGGGCATGATCACCGCCTCCTTCAAGGGGGTGGGGACCCAACCCTCCCTCAGAGAAGCATTCACAACCTCCTGGACCCAGCCATACATCCCATCCTTGGATTTGATAAGTAGCCATGAAGAGCAAGGGTCGAGTAAACAAGTGGTGGGTCAGACTTGTCCAAGCACCTTGTCCACATCCTCAGGCCACAACAATTGGAACTCATCCAATAAGAACAGACCAGACAGTGCTCTGGACACTTCCCATTCTAGGACCACATCAACTGTGGAGTCCAGCTCATGGTGAATCTGAGCAATTATATCCCTGAAGTGCTGGACAAAGACGTCACAGCGAGCCACTGATGGTGCAATAGGGTCAATTTTTTGCCCAGAATGTAGCAGGCCCTGCACCAGCACTGTGAGGATACAATGGAAGCGAAGAAGAATTCCTTCTTCGCTGCCCTTACCACCACAACATAGGCTCAATAATGAGCTCTAAGTAGTATTCAGTCAAATTCGGTATGGGATTTCCTCTACCTACATTCTAGTCATTTCCCAGCTTGCTTTATTGCCTGCAATTTAGGTGTATACCAAGGCACCATGCGGGCTCTACATGGTGGAAGAGGACGTTTAGGATCAATCGTGTCAATTGCTTGGGTCATTTCCCCATTCCACAAATCAACCAGGGCGTTGACAGGAACACCAGTTCTATCAACCAGAAATTCCCCCAGAGCCCTCAGGAATCCATCAGGATCCATAAGACTCCGGGGGTGGAGCATTTAATAGGGGCCGCACCCTTATGGAGGGGAAAACTGGCCCCAAATTTAAACCTCATGAGGAAGTGATCTGACCATGACAAAGGGGCTAATGTCAGATCCTTCACTTCCAGATCACCATCTTCCCACGCTGTTTAAAAGACCAGGTCCAGAGTGTGACCTTTTTCATTTGCTGGGCCATTGATGTGTTGAGACAGCCCCATGGTTGTCATGGCAGCATGAGCTGTCCTGTTCAGAACAGTCTCGGCATGGAAGTTGAAGTCCCCCAGGACCAACATCCTGGGAGTCTTCAACACCAGGTCCAAGACAATCTTCGTCAGCTCAGGCAGGGAGTCTGTTGGGCAGAAGGTTGCACAGTAAGCAACAAAATCCCCCCAGCGGCAAGTACTTACATTTGAGACCAAGGGACAGGAAGTCCAGTGACACATTGGGCAGGCAAGCAAGTGGGCAGATGGTGAGACCCAGGGCCCAGTCTGTGGTCAATGGAATAAGGGATGGCAGCCCTGCCCCGC